AACACCACCACCACCAGCACCACCACCACCAGCACAGCACCAGCACCAGCACCAGCACCAGCACCAGCACCAGCACCACCAGCACCACCAGCACCACCAGCACCACCAGCACCACCAGCACCACCAGCACCACCAGCACCACCAGCACCACCAGCACCACCAGCACCACCAGCACCACCAGCACCACCAGCACCACCAGCACCACCAGCACCAGCACCACCAGCACCACCAGCAGCACCACCACCACCACCACCAGCACCAGCACCAGCAGCAGCAGCAGCAGCACCACCACCACCACCACCACAACCACGCACACACGCACGCACGCACGCACGCGCACCACCACCCACTAGTCCGCGGATAGAGAAAATCAGCGCCATGGTACGGGATGGGAGGGAGGGGTAGGACGTCAGATATGACGCGCGCGCACCTAGCTTGCCCTCCTCCCCCTCCCTCTCCTCCTCCTCCTCCGTCGGCGGAGGTCTGGACCTCCCTCCTCCGCGTCGTGCGGAGGTGCTCCCTCCCTCCCTCGCCTCCGGCCGCCTCAGGCCTCCGCCGCCGCCCCGGCGGGGCGGCTGCCGCCGCGGCTGCCCTCGGCATCGCTGCGGGAGGTGATGGACGACAGGACGATCAGCCAGAAGAAGGACACCAGCGCGATGAAGGGTATCCGCCACTGAGGCGGCACCACGCCGAAGGTCAGGCACTGCACCGGCCCCCAGATCAGCCAGTACTTGATCAGGAGGTCGTTGCTCGCGTCCTCGAGGTACTGTCGCATGCCCGCGGGGACGTTGGCGTTGAGCGTCAGCGCCTTGATCAGATACGCCATCGGTAGGCAGAGAAACGGCGTGAGCACGAACTGGTCAAACAGGACCTTTTCAGCTATGGTCACAAAGTCTTGCCCCTCGCCGAACCACACGGGATAGCACACATTGAATATGAAGTACTGCGCGCATCCCTGGTAGAAGCCGCCGTACAAGAAGAAGGCCAGGGTCCGTTTCCAGCTGAAGTCCTCCAGAATGTTGTCGGTGTCCTGGGCTTTGTCAGCGCTGGTTGCTGCCAGCGCTCCACCTTTAGCCTCTCCGTCGGCGTGGTCGTCCCGCGCCATCTGCTCACCCTTCTGCGCAAGGAGGTCCGAAGCGGACGCCTTCTTAGGAGGGCGCCGACTGCACACAGTGACACACTGACACCGATCTCGACCAGGCCCAGCCTGGGACCTGCAGGCCCTCCTGGCTTGGTCAGGAAGGCGTATACACCAATCGCGGGCCAGGCCTGGTGTGGGTGTGCCTATTGTTGGCGTCCCAGGTCGCCTGCCGTCGGGAATCGCGCTCCGCGGTGCGCGGCCAGGCCATCTTCGCGCCCTCACGCCGCTGTCATGGAGAAGGGCACCTCTCCAGCTCAGGCTACGGCCGTGAAGCTCGACTCTCCTCGTGCCCCTGCGGTTGGCTCAGGTCCTCTGGACCTGCCGATGGCGGCCTCGCTGCCGCAGCTTCTGCCGAGGGCGAGATGCGGCGGAGGCGACGCCCTTTTCTTGAACGCGCTACTTGGCATCCCAGACCCTCAACGCAGTGGTTTTTCCCATGAACCCCTGGAAGCCTCGACACCTTCCCCAAGACGGGCCCTTCTTCCCGGGAAGCCTTTTGACCGTCCAGGGGCCCCGCAAGGGCGCCCAGAGGCCGAGAAAGACCAAGAGCCTTCCGTCGTGACCCCTTCACGACGCGAAGGGGTCTGGGGTCCTCCGAACCTTCACGGAGGCGACGGCAAACGCAGACTGGTAAGGCTGCGTGCTAAACCAGGCGTCCACGGAATCCAGCAGAGCCATCTCCCCGCCAGCCGCCCTCGCCGTCGCAGAGCGCCCCCGGCTGGCGGCACCGAGGGCCCGCACGGGGCCGGCGCGCCTGAGGGCGGCAGGGCCCAGAGGAGTGCTGCCAGGATGACACCGTGGCAGCGGCGACGGCGGCGACGCCGTCTACGACGACCACAGCGGCGACGATGGCGACCTCGGCGGCGGCGGCGGCGACGGCGGAGATGGAGACGACGACGGCGACGGCGCCGCCTACCACGACGACGACGATGACCAAGATGGCGACGACGGCGGCGGGCGGCGGGAGGCGGCGACGATGGCGACGGCGGCGGCTGCGGCAGCGGTAGCGGTGACTGCGACAGCGAGCGAGCAACGACGACGGCGGCGGCTGCGGCGGCGGCGACGGCGGCGGCGACGACGACAGCGAGTGACGACGACGACGGCGGCGGCGACGGCGGCGGCTGGAGCGCCTCGGAACGGCCGGGCCGAGAAACGTGCGGCCAGGGCGACATCGTGAGAGCAGGGCGAAGGCTGCCAGTGCCCAGCAGTAGTGCCTCGCGCGCCCCATGGCACTCTGCGGGGCCGTGACGCTTGGCGGCGCACCCGAATACTAGAGCCCAGGCGGCAGCAGGGAACTCTCATCTTTTTGATTGTTGTTTGATTGTGTGTGTGGCTTCCCGAAGCTCCCAAGGCCTCTCCTGAAAGGACGCATTCCAGAAGCCCTCCTCATCCTTATCCTTCTCCCCCTCCTCCTCCTCGTCGCCTTCACTCATCCTGTCTCCGTGATTATTTAATCATTTTTCTTTCCTCCTGCCTTCTCTACCTCGCCCTCCTCCCCGCCCTACGCCTCTTGCTCGTCCTCGTCCTCCTGCTGATGCTGTTCACCTCCTCCTCCCCCTCCTCCCCGTCCTCCTCCGTCTCCTCCTCCTCCTCGTCCTCCTTCTCCTCATCCTCCCTGGACCTCCTCTTCCTCCTCGTTCATTCATTCATTCATGGACCTCTGGAGGGCAACCAAATCCTTGCTCGCCTACCCCCTCGTGCTCCGGCCTCACCTCTGATGGGGGGCTGCGAAATCCCCGCCCCGACCCAGCTCGCCACGACCCTCCACCAAGTGGCGCGCGGTGGAGGTCGTACCTGGTGCGGCTGAGTCATGTGCCTTTTGACCACGGAAGGCGACCTCGTCAAACAATAACTGTTAGGCGGGGGGGGGGACAGGGCAACGGTCAAGGTGGCCTGGCCAAACAAGGACCACCTCCGTGCATAGCCCCCCCGCCCAGGAAGAAATAAACACACCGTCGCCCGTCTGGCGGAACCCCGAGGCCCGAGTTCCAGGGCTGGCCGCGTGGCACCAGCACCGCCAAACAGGTCGACAAATCTGAAGGGAGGGGGAGGGCCAGGGCGACGGTCGAGGCGGACTGGCTAAACCAAGTCCGCCCCCGTGCCCTGCCCACCCGCAGGAAAGGCGGCCCCCTGTGCAACTGTCGCCGCATAAAGATAATTACCTCCAGCGCTCCGCGGCCGTGCAAACAGGGGGACGCCAGCGGCACGCAGTAGTGAGAAGGACGGCCACAGGGACCCCAAGTCGAACCCACTGCGCGCATCAGGCTACCGCAAGTGAACAGTCTAGACGGGGCGGGGCGACGGTCGGGGTGAACTGGCAGAACCAGGCCCACCGATGCCTGCCTGGCGGAACCCCTCGGCCCGAGTTCCAGGGCTGGCTGCGCGTCACCAGCACCGCCAGGCAGGACGGCCAAGCACAGCACCCCCGTGCCCCGCACTTCCCGCAGTGCGTGGCGGCCCCCCTGGGCAACTGTCGCCGCACGGGGGGGAATCTCCTGCGCCCCGCGGCCGTGCAACAGGGGGGAGAGCCGTCCGCACGCAGTTGCGACGAGGACGGCCGCAACGGACCCCAGGTCGAACCCGCTGCGAGCGCCAGGCTACCGCACACCATGAGGCACCCTGGCTGACCTAAAAGAAGTGAGCACGATCAGGGTGGTCATCCTTGAGAAGAGGTCTCTTCCCCGACCCAATCCGCCCCGTCCCTCCACTGGGGAGGACACCCCAGGGGCGGCCGAGCCTTGTGCCCTTTGGCCATGGCAGGCGACCTCGACTGAACTCTCTGAGCTGCGAAGACTTGATGTGCGTGCAGGGCCCCAGGAGGTGCCTGGGGGTCTTTGAGCAGTGCGATCCGAAGCGAGTGCAATACAGAACTGGAATCCCTGAGTCGGCGATGGAGGGGGAGGGGGCAGCCTACACTCGGTGGGCTCGGCCACTGTTGGTCGCTCCTCTGACCAGGGCCCCAAATGAGGGGCAAAATAGAATCATTTAGAGTTGCCCGGTGGTTTCCTGAACGAGCGAGCGCAGCGCAGCCATCGCCACATCTGTCCATTCTACGGAGCACGATGTTGCTGGGTATTTTTTGGGGGTGGCCTTGGGGCTCGGACTGTAAACGAGGTCCCATGCATTTCTCTGGCAAGAGCCCAAAGCTCTAACATCGAACTAACGGTTTTTAAGACGGCAAACCATCCGTCCAGAATTTCCTTTACATGCTCGGCGACCTGGGGAACCGCAAAAACTTCACGGCACAAAATATCCGCCCAGGCATTCCCGATAACTAAAAGATGCTCCACCCACTCTCGATCTCCACGGGTCATGGACTGGTAGGCCTTCACCTTATGCATGCAGAACTCTCTGTCAAAACTTTGGATATGGCGCCAATGTCCTGCCTGCTGCGAGGTGCCATCTAGCGCTCTAAAGGAAACAGCAAGCCCTGTAATCAGCGCGCTGCAGTCGGCGTGGATCTCGATCTCATCCTCACCCAACTTACCTGGATCCTGCCAGAGGTGCTCAATTGCTGTTAAAAGACCCTGGTGTTCGGCCCCTGTGGCCCTTTGGGGGTACTTTCTCGGCAGAGGACCCCGAACGGCTCTTTTGAGGTCTCCCCCCCGTGATTTCGATACCTAGCTGACCAGCCCGCTCGGGCCAACAAGGGCTGGGTAGGCTCCAAACAGCTTCCATCGATGAGAATCTTGGTGGGCCCTGTGAAATCGCAAGCTCCCCCGGCCTGTCGATATACTCAATCATATCCTCCTCGGGCGGGGTCTGGATAATCTCTGGGGCGGGGATCCAGGGGCTGGTGTACAGAGGGTCCTTGCCTACAGAGTTCCTGGCTGCCTGCACAATGAAATCTTCGACATGTGTTCTGGCTGGTTCCCCGTGTGGGCAATGCCAGAGTCTGTGAAACACTGTGTCGCACAGGCAGCAATACTGGCAGGTAGGCTCCACTTCCTCCTCCTCCTCCTCCTCCTCCTCCCTGGACCTCCTCCCAAATCCCCCTGGTCGCCCTCCCCCTCATCCTCGCCCACGGGAGCGCCACGCCCGAGAACTGTCTTGACATCGCGCGATGGGCCCTTGCCCTCGCCATCATCCACTCCTCTTGTCCCTCCTTCCCTTCTCCCCTCCTTCCCTTCTTCTCCCCTTATGTTCCTTCGGTCTCCTCTCCTCTCATCCCCTGCCTCACTGTCTCTCAGCCTCTGCCTCTCTCTCTCTCTCCCTCTTTCTCCTCTCTCTCTGTCCCGCTGTCCCCTCCATGTCGCGCTCTCTCTCTCTCTCTCTCTCTTTTTTTTTTCTCTCTCTCTCTCTCTCCCTCTCTCCCTCTGGTCTCTCTCTCTCTCTCTCACTCTCTCTCTGCTCTCTCTCTCTCTCTGTGTGCCGCCCCCTCGCCATCCCGCCCCCCATCCCGCTTCCGTCACCTCCCCTGCCTCCTCCCTTTCGTTCCCCTCCGCTTCCCTCCAAAGCCCGTATTCCCTCTCTTGCTCCCTCCTTCGGGTATGGCATCCACGAAAACCCCCTGCAGCATCTGGGGCAAATCAGGGAAGAGTCGCGGAGCTCCTCCTCCTCCTCCTCCTTCTCCCTCCCTCCCTCCTGTCTACTCCCTCCTCCCTCCTCCTACTCATTCCTCCTCTTCTTCTTCTCCTCCTTCTCCTCCTCCTCTTCCTCCCTCTCCTCCTCATCCACGCTCACTCCTTCCTCCTGCCCCTCCTGCTCCTGCATCCGCCGTCCTCCATCCTCCATGATCCTCCTCTTGCCCGTTCCCCTTCCTCTCTCTCCTTAAATCGCCTTCTCCTTCCTCTTCTATTCCCCTTCGCCCTCCTCGTCCTCCTCGTCGTCTTCCTCGTCCTCGTCCTCGTCCTCGTCCTCGTCCTCGTCCTCGTCCTCCTCCTCCTCCTCCTCCTCCTCCTCCTCCTCCTATGCTTCCTCCCCGAAAGCTTTCGCGGGCCTTGGGAGGTTCCCCCGAGTGGACACATGGGGAGGCCCCGGAGCGCCCAGGAGGGGCGTCCGGGGGCAACCCCGCAGGCATCGAGCACCTGCGGCCGGCCTCCCGTGCCTGCGCCTCGTCTGTCCAGTGGCGCGGGTGGCAGCTGCCATCCGTAGCTCCAGGTGCACTTTCACGTCGAGCGTTGGCCTCCTCCCACCCCTCGTCCTCCTCCCTCTCCTACGGCTCCAGCGTGATCTCCCACTGCCGGGGGATGAGGAAGAGAAGGAGGGGGAAGGGGGGAGAAAGAGGGCGAATATGGGTGGGATGGGGGGTCATGAGGAGGACGAGCAGGCTGAAGAGTAGGAGGGGAGGCATCAGAACAAGTAGGAGGCGGATCAGGGGAAGCATGATGATGTCGAGCAAGATGAGAACGAGCAGGGTGATTAGAAGGACGAGGAAGAGGATGACCGCAAAGGCGGTAAGTGGCTGATTTTGCAAGCGACGAAAATGCCATTGACCTTTGCTTGGTGGTGATACTCTTGATGACTGGCGGCAAGACATCGCGGAATCGAGGAAGTTAGCCTCCTCCCCGTATCGGGGCGCCTGAGACGGCATGCCGCTCAGCGCCGCGGTGCCGCGCAGGGTCCTGTCGCAGTCGTCGTCGTCGCCGCCGCCATCATCATCGTCACCATCCTGTTCCTCGTCCTTGCCCTCGCTGCCCTCGTATGTGTCGTCCGTCCGTAGAGTCAGCCCCAGATGCATCGACGATGTGGCAATACAGCCTCCCGTCCCAAGTCCCCTCCCTGGCCATCGCTCGGACGTCCATTTCCTGTGTTTTTTTCGGTTTCGTGCGTGGTTTTTTCGCCAAATGATCAAGGATGCTCCTCGATGGTCCTCGCCGAAAGAAAAATGCACACGTCCGAGCGATGCCAAGTCAACGATGTGGCAGTACAGCCTCCCGTCCCCAGTCCCCTCAGTATGACTGCCTGCGCGCATTCTCTCTCTCTCTCTCTCTCTCACTGCGGGAAGAGGCCCCCTTGAACGACGAGCGCCCAGTGGGCCTGTGACTCAGGTGAGACCCCCGTTTTGTAGAGGATCCACCCTCCATCCTTCTTCTGGGGACATCAAACGCGAGGAGATAGGATGACCACGTCCAAGGAAGCCCCCAGCTATAACCGGGGTCTGCACAAGCTCTGCCCTCCATCGGTGTAGTTTTGGCACTATGACGCAATCTGCGGAAATCTCAGGCGAGAGCCCTATCTTGGAAAGGAGCAGCCCTCCAGCCTCAGCAGTTGAGGGCAGCTCAAGCGAAAACCGCATGATGAAAACGTGCTGGCCTCCATCCTTGTATCTGTTGGTGGCTGAATACTGAATGTGCGCGGCACTACGGCGAAATTTGCACTTTGACGTCCATCGGCCCTCCATCCGTGTGAAGGTTTGCACTTTGACAACTCTCGGTCCTCCAATCATAAAGGAACTAGCAACTCCGATTCGTACTTTTCCCGGGGATAATGACATTTGGCCTCGCCGCCCTTACCAACTCAGTCTTGGCCCGGGATAATCAACTCTCAGGGGGAGCAAGGGTGGGTATGCTTAATTATCCGGAGCTTGCGGCTAGGTTAAGGATCATATACAGAGCCCAATTCTAGTGTGAAAGCTCGGATGCCACTGCCCTCCCCACACATGCCCGCACATGCCTTACTTTTACACCAACCCACTCTGAGGATCGCCGTGCCCCCATCCGTTCCCATCAATCAAACAGTGCACGCACATCCATCCTGCTCCTCCTCCCCCTTCTCCCTGTAGTCGCCAGATCTCCAACCTCACGCTTCGCCGCCCTCCTTCTCCTTCTTCACCTCTGGTCGCCTGGAGCTGTGCAAACCTTGCCACCATGTGCCCGGCATGTGTCCAGCATGTGCGGGACGAGGGACATGGAGAAGGAGGATGAGAAGAGAGGCGGGGGATGAAAAAAATTCGCCGGCCCAACGGGCCAGGGCGTGCTAAGATCTCCGGTAACTGGTTAACAGTATTAACAGTATTTCTAGTTCGCGCGCGCGGGGCGGCCCCTGGGGGTCCCCCGGCGAAAAGTACCCCGACCAACGCCCGGCCGCCGCCCGACCGCCGCCCGACCGCCGCCCGACCACCGCCCGACCAAGTCTACTCAGAGATGGTTTTCCTTCTGGGTGCGGCCTCTCAGGCTCCCCAGAGCGCGCTCAGAGTGCCCCAAGAGGCCCCCAAGACTGCCCAAGAGGCCCCCGAGACGCCCAAAGAGCGCTCGAAGACGCCGAAGATGACCCCAAGACGGCCCAAAAGGCCCCCAAGACAGCCCAAGAGGCCTCCAAGACGCCCCAAGAGCCTTCCAAGAGGCCTCCGAAGAGAGCCCCAAGAGGCCAAAATCGTTGATTTTCATTGGTTTTTTCGATGTTTTTTGTGTTCTGGCTTTTTCGGCTTCCGGACGCTCCAAGACGGCCCAAGAGGCCCCCAAGACCGCTCCAAGACGGCCCACGAGGCTCCCAAGACGGCCCCGGAACGGCCCAGGAGGGCCCCCAAGACGGCCCAAGTGCCGCCCAAGACGGACCAAGAGGCCCCAAGACGGGCCCAAGAGGGGCTCAAGAGGGGAACCGAGAACTGAAAAATCGAGCCCTCTGCCCCAGAAGGCGCCCAGGAGGCCCCAAAAAGGCCCCAAGAGGCCCCCAAGAGGCCCCCAAGACGCCCCAAGAGGCGCCCAAGAGGCCCAAAAGAGGCCCCAAGAGGCCCCAAAACGGCCCCCAAAACTCGGCTAGCCCACAACGGTGCGACAATATGGGCCGGCGGAATGAGCGAAGCGATTAAATAAGGGATGGGGAGGACGAGGAGGTGAAGAATGATGAACAGAAGGCGCATGTCTACGCACATGGCCTCACACCAACACATATCAACGAATGAGCGAGATCCGAACGGGAATCTTTGTGAATCACTCAGTGTACAAACCCCTGCAAATGCCGCACACATGCCCGCACACATACACGCGTCGATAAACTACTGCGCGTCCGTTGAACAAGCAAAACTTGCACGCTGGGCACATGCCCGCACATGCCGAACCCGACATGCCCGCACAGAAACCCCAGAACGTGATCCTAGAAATGCACTCGGGTAAGTTGTCAAGCGAAGCGCCCGGCCCAGCTTGCGGACACATCTGGTGGTGCGGCAGGGGGTGCTATTCATGAGGGAAAGTCATGGGAGAGGAGAAGGAGGAGGAGGAGGAGGAGGAGGAGGAGAAGGATGAGGATGATGACGAGGATGATGGTGAGGATGAGTATGGGGATGGGGACTTGGACGAGGACGAGGATGATGATGATGATGATGATGATGATGATGATGATGATGATGATGATAATGATGATGATGATGATGATGATGATGATGATGATGATGATGATGATGATGATGATGATGATGATGATGATGATGATGATCATGATGCTGATGCTGATGCTGATGCTGCTGCTGCTGCTGATGATGATGATGATGATGATTTTCCCCGACGTTAGGGCTAAGAGTAGATGACCTGCTTCATCGTCAGAGCTAAAAAATTATGGCCCGTCGCAGAGAGACAAAACTCTCGGTAGACCCCGCACGGGGCGACACTCTCTGGGTGCTTCACAGGGGAGTGGCATGCCAGTGAGTGGGGATTACAGCTGCATGCACTCGGCGGCTTCTTCCTCTGCGGCGAAATCGGCCTCATCGAGGGGCTCTGAATTGAGAGGTCGCTGTGTGTCAGGCGCTGGTCTGGCTACAGCTGGGGCAGGCGGCGAACCTGGCGTAGGCCTAATGGTCTCAGATGGGGATGAGGACAGAGGTCGGGGCGTCCTCCGTGCCGTGATCGTTCCAGGTATGACTTGAGGAGGAGGAGGAGAAGGAGGAGGAGGAAGATGACGAGGAGGAGGAGGAGGAGGAGGAGGAGGAGGGGGAGGACGAGGATGACGAGGAGGAGAAGGAGGAGGAGCAGGACTGAGCAGGAGGAGCAGGGCGAGCGGGATGGCGTTCTCGGGGCTGCGTGACCGTACCCAGCAGCCCGGGCGGACGCAGCATGACCCCATGCAGCGCGCGCGCGCGCTGAGCGCATCAGCCACCGAGAGCCGCGGCCGTGTTCGGCGCGGAACCCTCTGGGCTTCATCCGCACACGTCGGCCGGAAGAAGTACGTAGAAGCATGAAGTGGGACTGCGGATGAAGTACATCGGTTTCAGGCCCTCCCAGAGAAGAGCACCACACAGCAAAATCATATCGGTTCTTGAAACAGGAAGGCGCTTGCAGTATAGTGGGATTTGGGAATCCAGAGATGCCTACTTCCAACGACTGGCGTGTACCCAAATCCGGCATCCCACAGGCTGCAAGTTTTTTTCCGCCATGTGCTCGATCTGAGTGCAAAGCGAGCTACATGCGGCGAGCTCCGCGTCAGAGCTCGTGGCGCTGCTCACGCTGAAGCCGTTGAGCATCCAAGTGTACAGATTCGTGCCGATCTGCACCCACAGAGCCCATGCTGCCCCAGCTATGGCTTCCCGTCGCCCACCGTCGAACCTGGCCACGATGTTTGCCTCCAAATGCCCTCGCAGGAACTCCCATGGGACGAGGTTGATGGCAGCGATCTCGCACTGTCGCTATAGTGCGGCTCTTGCGGGAGGAGGAGGACGCAGAGGCGGAGAAGGAAGAGGAGGAGGAGGAGGAGGAGAAGGAGGAAGGAGGGAGGAGCAGGAGGAGGAGGAGGAGGAGGAGGAAGGAGGGAGGAGCAGGAGGAGGAGGAGGAGGAGGAGGAGGAGGAGAAGGAGGAGGAAGGATGGAGGATCAGGAGGAGGAGGAGGAGGAGGAGGAGGAGAGAAGAGGATGAGGGAGGAGGAGGAGGAGGAGGAGGAGGAGCAGGAGCAGGAGGAGGAGGAGGAGGAGGAGGAGGAGGAGGAGGAGGATCCTCGCATCTCGAACGGCGGACGACGGCGGCAGCGGGCGCCGCCGCGGGTGCGCGCTCGGCTCACCTCCGGCTGGGCCGCCACGTAGCGTGCTCGGCACGTCAGTGGGCCGTCCCCGCTCTCCTTCACCTCCTCCTCCTCGTCCCCCGTCCTCTTCCTCCTTCCTCCCTCCTCCCTCCACCTCCTCCTCCTGCTGCTCCTCCTCCCGCTGCTGCTGCTGCTCCTCCTCCTCGTCCTCCTCCTCCTGCTGCTGCTGCTGCTGCTGCTGCTCCTCCACTCCTCCCTCCCTCCCTCCTCCCTCTCCTCCTCCTCCTCCTCCTCCTCCCTCCTCTCCTCCTCCCCTCCTCTCTTCTCCTCTCCTCGTCCTCCTCCTCCTCCTACGAATTGTCTCACCTCCTGTGCCTCCTCCGCCTCCTTATCTGCCTTCTCCTCATCCTCCTCTTCCCTTTCCTCGTCCTCCTCATCCTCCTGTTCCTCCTCCCCTCCTCGTCCTCCTGTCCTCATCTCATTCTCTCCTCACCTCCTGTTCCTCCTCCTGCTCCTTCCCCCTCCTCTCCTCATCCTCCTGCTTCTCCTCCTGCTCCTTCTCCTCGTCCTGTTGCTGCTGCTCTTTCTGCCTCCCTCTCCCCCGCCCCCCCCCCCCCTCCTCCTCCTTCTCCCCATCCCCCTCCTCCTTCTCCTTCCCCGTGCTCCTTCCCGTGCTCCTTGTCTCCCTCCTCCCCGTCCTCCTTCCCCCCCGTCCTCCTGCTCCTGCTCCTCCTCTTCCTCGTCCTGCTGCTTGTCCTTCCCCCCCCTCCAGGCGACGCCGAGGACAACGACAAGGCCGGCGAACGTCGGCGCTGCGAACGGCGACGGCGCACCGGCGACGTCGCCCGGCGGCGGGCGACGCCCGCTGCTCGCGTCCTGCCGTTCCCAGGGGCCTCGCTGGGGGCGCCGGCGCCGCCCGCGCGCCCGGTGGCCTCCAGACGCACGTACCAGTCGGCCCTGTGCGGTTTCGGGCTTGCGGCGAGTCGGCGGCGAGGGCGAGGACGCCGCTGCCGCCGCCGCCGTCGCCGTCGTCGTCGCCGCCGCCGCCGCCGTCGTCGTCGCCGCCGCCGCCGCCGCCGTGGTCGTCGTCGTCGTCGTCGTCGTCGTGGCCGTCGTCGTCGTCGTCGCCGTCGTCGCCGTCGTCGTCGTCGTCGTCGTCGTCGCCGTCGTCGTCGTCGTCGTCGTCGTCGGCGGCGGCGGCGGCGGCGGCGGCGCGACGACGACGTCGGGATTCTAGAACGCGACTACTGTTGATCTGTGGGCACGCTTCTGGGCGCTCTCGCCTCGACGCCGGCTACGTCTCCTTGGAGAGCGAGGCTCCTGCTCGGTAGCGTGGGCTTCCCTTCAAATTGTGGGCTGCTGGAAGCCCCACTGCGACGACAGCGGCTCCCGCTCGAAATCGGGGGCGGCCAAGAGGGGGGCGTCCAAGAGAGGGGGTGCAAATCATGGCTGGCGGCATGTGCGCGGCCCAGGGGGGGGGGCGGGGACGCAATGAAATAAGACGAGGCGCCATGACATCGGAGAAATATCATGCCATGATATCCCCCCCTCAGTCATCCCCCCCCTCTTGGCCGCCCCCGATCGACAGCTGCTCACAGCTTCCTCCGGGACGCCCTGGCCAGAAAGGGCCCCCCGCACCCTCAGGAACGGCGCTCTCGCTCGAGACGTGCTCGCAACTCAGTCCAGTCGGCGGAGGCCCAACTACGACGACAACGGCTCCCGCCCGATATTTGCTCACGACTTCCTCCGAGACGCCCGGCAGGGCCCCGAACTCACGAACGGCGCTCTCGCTGGAGACATCCTCAGGCCCAACTGCGACGAGAACGGCTCCTGCTCGACATCTGCTCACCATTGACTCCGAGTCGCCCTGGACATTTGCATTCTCGCACTCAGGAATGGCGCTCTCACCCGAGACGTCCTCGCAATTCGCTAAATTCCGTGGAAGCCCGGCTGCGGCGACACCAGCTCCCGCTCGATAATTACTTCTGCGCACTCTGCTCGGAGACGCCCTGGAGGCCTCAACGCTCGAGAACGGCGCTGTCTCCCGAGACTTCCTTGCCAGCTGCTGAAGTTGGTGAGTTGCCCGCGGTTGCGCGAGCTCACACAACGGCCATGTCGACGCGGAGCGTACACATAGTGCACTGCTGAACGCTTTTCTCAGGAGCAGGAATTAAAAAGACACCCCCACACAAGGGGGTTAGTACAAGGGGAAGGGAGAAACAAATGAAGGTCAACACAGTTTGGTGTGATAGATGTTACCAATATGGTCGTCGTTGTTGTCACCGCCGCTGCCGCCGCCGCCACCGTCGCCGTCGTCGCCGTCGCCGTCGTCGTCGTCGTCGTCGTCGTCGTCGTCGTCGTCATCAAAGTCGTCGAGATCGTCGTCGTCGTCGTCGCCGTCGTCGAGGTCGTCGGCGTTGTCGAGGTCGTCGCCGTCATGGTCCAGCTCCTCCTCCTCCTCCTCCGACCTCCTGCCCATCTTTGATGCCTCCTGCTCCTCCTCCTCCTCCTCCTCCTCCTGCCCTGTGACCTCCTGCTCCTTTGCACTGGCTCTCCTCCTCCTTCTCCTCCTGCTCCTCCTGCTCCTCCTGCTGCTCCTCCTGCTCCTCCTCCTCCTCCTCCTCCTCCATCCCGTCCCTCTCCTCCGCCTCCTCCCCTCCTTCTCCTCCTCCTCCTCCTCCTCCCCCTCCTCCTTCTCCTCCCCTCCCCCTCCTCCTCCTCCTCCCGCTCCGCCCGCTCTCCCCGCCCCACCTCCCTCTGCTCCTCCCCCCCCCCCGCCCCCCCCCTCCCCCCCAGGAGCGGGGGCCGCCTGATCCTGCCCTGCGCCTCCAGCACCTCCCGCCGCACGCCGCGCGGTGCCGCGCCCGGGGTGCTGGCGCCCTGTCGGGGGGGGGGGGGGGCAGAGGCGCCGTCGCCTTGGGGGCGAAGGCGCAGCTGCTGCTCGCTTCCGTTGTCGCCGCCGCCGCCGTCGTTGTCGTTGTCGTCCTCGTCGTCGCCGTCGCCCTCGTCGTCGTCGTCGCCGTCGTAGGAGGAGGGGGAGGAGGAGGAGGAGGAGGAGCAGGAGGAGGAAAGGAGAGGAGGAGGAGGAGGAGGAGGAGAAGAGGAGCAGAAGCAGGCGCAGGAGGAGGAGGAGGAGGAGGAGGGAGGAGGAGAGGAGGAGGAGAGGAGGAGGAGGAGGAGAGGTTGGAACGGGAGGAGGAGCGCGCTGGCCAACATGGGGGCGAAACGAGAAGGCGCGTCAGTCACCAAGCCGAGCAAACAGCATACCACATTGAACATATATACCAACCACGCCCGGCCGCCCAGCCTGGAGTCTGGGGGAGAAGGAGCCCAGCCTCCGCCCTCCTACATCTCCGCCATCCTCCTCCGCCCTCCTCCTCCTCCGCACGCCTCCTCCTCCTCCTCCTCCTCCTCCTCCACCACTTTCCTCACGAAACGCTCCTCCCGAGGCCAGGCCAGCCAGCTCAGGCCTGGCGCCCAGCCTGAAGGCAGGAGAGGGAGGAGGACGAGGGGTGTGTGGTTCTATATATAGATGTGTGTATATAGCTATATCTATTTATATACACATATATATATATATTTATTTATATATGTATGTATGTATGTATGTGTGTGTGTGTGTGTGATTGTGCTCTGCTTGCCGAGACCAGCGCGCCGCAGAGCGCACGCCCGCCGAGGCAAGCGTGCGCGCGCGTCTGCCCGGCCGCCTGTCTCCTCCCGCTGCCTGCCTCCAAGCCATTCGGTGTGCTCGGCTTCGTGCATTGCACGGTCGCTTCGGCCTTTTCCGCGTCTACCCGCGTTCCGCCTTTTTTCCTGCAGGCGGCTGCCCCATCCAATCCACCCATCTGCTGCGCCAGATGAAAGATCGCCTGAGCGTGAACTGGCTGAACGCATAGTGACGGTGTCGTCACCACGCCGCTGGAGACAACAGAGTGTGTGTGTATGTGTGTGCGTGTGTGTGCGTGTGTGTGTATGTGTGTGTGTGTGCGTGTGTGTGTGTGTGTGTGTGTGTGTGTCTGTGTGTGTGTGTGTGTGTGTGTGTGTGTGTGTGCGGGTATATGTATATGTATATATATATATACATACATACATACATACATGTACACATACAAATACATGTGTGCACACACTTGTATGCACATATTTGTATATGTTTGTATACGCATAATACACATATATGTACTATATGCGTGTGCGTGTGTGGCGGCCTGCACTGCTCACGCATCTGCAACGTCAGGTGCAACTAACGCTGAGCGTGGCCCGCCTTAGCTCCCGCTTCAGTGATGCTACTCGGCTGGCCGATGAACACGTGTGTGTGTGTGTGTGTGTGTGTGTGCGTGTGTGTGTGTGTGTGTGTGTGTGTGTGTGCGCGGGCGTTCCCACTCGTCTTCACGTGCATCGCGGCTGAATCAGCATCTGTATGCCCTGCATTCGCTCCATGAGCCAGCGCAGTCACTCTGCCCAGCCGCCGGCGAAAAAAGCTGTGTGTGTGTGCGTATGCGGGCAAGTCCTATGAAGTCTTCGTGGTCCAGAGAGGACACTACTTAAGTCTGGACGGAGCGGGCGCGAGGGCGCCACGCCCCCGCCATCCCTGCCTGCCTGCCGACGGGAAGCTGGATTCTGGGGGGGGGGGGGGGAGGGGAGCAGGGACGGGGCGACGAGGAACAGACAACGCCCGTGGGGCGTCAATGCCAAGGACGGCGAGGATAATCAGAGAGCATGCTGCAGGCCAACGCGGTAAGTTCGTGTCGTGATGACCCCAGCGTTGGTTTCTGACACCGCGTGGATGGTTCAACCCTCAACGATCAGCGGCTTTTCGATCGCCAGACCGCTCCGGGACCACATGCGGCGTTCAACCTTGAACGCCCGTGCTGGGGGATCGTAGCCGCGTCAACATTTCTTTTACCATCCATGCGAAGACCAACGGCAGAGGCAGAGAAAGAGCAGAGAGAGAGAGAGAGGGAGAGACAGGAAGGCAGGACGCCGATAGCACGCGACGACGCATGAGAACGCGTCGACACGACACAAACCTACCGTACCCTCCTGACGGCCACCCTTCTCCCTGGGACGCAGGACAGAGCGAGCTCTCCACGGCGCCTGTTCGCGCCTTTCCTGGATGGGGCTGCGCCCACCCTGGACAAGCGCGTCCCTCTACTGCTCGCAGAGTGGCCACTCGCAAATGGCCTGGATCCGTCGCGGGGCATCTACGATACATTACCCAGCGATCCGACGTCTCGATTTTTTCGAGAAATGGGCCCCCAACCTCCCGACCACTTCCCCGGGACCGGTTTTTCATCCCGAATCGTTTTTTGACGGTCCCGAGGCCCGGCGAGGGCCCTGAGAGGTCGAAAACGACGAGAAACCTCCGCCTCGATTTTTTCGAGACGCCCGATGTCTGGGTTTACATGGGGAGGAAGCTCTATTTTCTCGGTCGCTTGCGAGTAGGCGCTCTGCGAGTAGCCGAACACCCGAGCGGGCGAGCCGCCCGGACGCCCCCCCCCCGGAGGTGCCGGCACCGACGCCGCGCTCTGGCGAAGAGGAGGCCCGGCCGCCCCACGAGCGCCGCCCTGGCCCGCGCGCGCGCCCGCCTCGCAGCGCGCGCCGCGGCCGCCGCCCGGCAACCACCGACCCACCCCGCCGCGTCTCGGGACTCGGCCAGATCACGTGGTCATCCATGAGCGCAGATACCGTCGGGGCGTTGACCTAAGGAACCCTAAATAAGGAACGAGGCCCCTAGTTTCCATAAGTTAAACTTCAATTTCATATCGAAAACCTAAGGAAAATCCAAGGCAAGCTGCGAAACAATGAAGGAACGCGGAGCCCCTCCCCAACGAAAAGGGTTCCTTCTTCAGGGCCCCGACTGTAGAGGCGGGTTTCCAGGCACTTGTTGGTCGGCGGCGAGGGCGGTCGCACGTCGCGTTCTGGCAGCCGGCGGGCCGCGGCGACGGGCTCGAGACACCCCGACCCCCCCCAAAAAATTTAGAGCGTGAATTACCTACCCCGCGTTCGCTTCCAGGCAAAGCCAAGTCATACCATACGCCTCCTCGTCTAGCGACCTGACCAGTACATGCCGTATTTTGGCATCGCTTGGTATCTCTTGGAAGCGAGGGTGGTCAAAAGCGAGGTAGGCTTGTTTGCCCCCTAAAAATGCCATCCCGTGGGGCGCACCTGTCGCGACCGCCGGCCTTCCCGCTGTCGATTCCTTCGGCCTTTGAGCGAGGCCCAGTCTGGAGCGCGCCAACCGCAAAACGGGCTAAGCCACACTCGCTGGCGCGGTCGATGCCGAGGCCGCCTGCTTGGCGTCTGCACGAAGCCTCGGGGCAACGAGTCTTGGACCCCAGGGCCATCTCCCAGGACTGGTTCTTCACCCTGAATCGTTCTCCTGCGGGTCATCTCCCAGGACTGGTTCTTCACCCTGAATCGTTTTCCTGCGGGCCATCTCCCAGGACTGGTTCTTCACCCTGAATCGTTCTCCTGCGGTCCTGGGGGCCGTGGGGGGCCCGGGGAGCCAAGAACGGTTAAAAGCCAAAGGACCTGGCTGCCTCGGGACCCGTTTCCTTCATGGCGAGTTTGGCGCCTGGCAGGACGCCTCGAGACAGCTCCCCCAGGACCCGCGGCACGCCGGCTGCGGCTGTGCTGCCGCGGGCGCAACGGACACGGGGCCAGATGCAGGGCCGCGGGCCCCGCAAGGGGGGAGGGCGGGCATGTGCGCGCGGGAGGTGGCGCGCTGTGATCGACTCGGCGGCGAGCCCAGGGGTGAAGTGAGCAGGGGCAGGCATTCTCAGAAGGAGGAGGAGGAGGAGGAGGAGGAGGAGGAGGAGGAGGAGGCAGCGGAGAAGGAAGACTCGCAAGGCTCCTCAGAGGGCGCGAGGGCTTCCGAGCAGCCCCGCGGCCTTTTCTGCTCCCTCTCGCTTGCCCCCTGGGCTCGTCGCCGATCGGCGCCCGGCAGGGGGCAGTGATCGGGGGCCATGCGCTCTTTCCCTCTCGGCCCGCAGGAGGACAAGGAGGAGGAGGAGGAAGAAGAGGAGGGGGAGGAAGAGGAGGGAGAGGAGGCGGAGAGGAGGAGGAGGAGGAGGAGGAGGGAGGAGGGAGGAGGAGGAGGAGGAGGAGGAGGAGGAGTGCTGCCACCCGACAAGGGGGGGGCAGGGGTCCGTCGGCACCAGCTCGGAGACGGGACCGGGTCGCGCCGGCACGGATCCGCAGTCGCATCGGGTCGGCCACACCAGGATGCACTGATGGGCCTGTTTTCCACCACCACAACCACCATAAGTTGAAGGGAGAGGGGGCCTCCTCCTCCTGCCTCCTCCTCCTCCTCCGCCTCCTCTCTCCTCCTCTCCTCCTCCTCCTCCTCCTCCTCCTCCTCCTCCTCCTCCTCTTCGTCCTCGTCCTCCTCCACCTCCTTCCCCCCTCCAACTTATGTTGTTGGTGGTGGTGGTAGATAACAGGCCCATCATGCACAGTAGCACCGCGCAAGCACCGCCGGCCGCACCGGATCGCCAGAAGGCCAGAGGCGGATCGGAGCGGGCCGGCCGCCATCGACATCGCCTCGGATCGATGGGGTCAAGATGGACCCGGAGGGGGTGGGCTGCCCAGCAGCATGGGGGGCCTGGCCGCCGCGGGCCTAGGCTGGGGGCTCCAGCGAGCCCGCCGCCGCAGGCGAGGGGAGGTGGGTCTGCGCGCTGGCTCCTGGTCCCAGACGTGCGACGTCGGGATTTTTCAGGACGGCGTCCCTGGAAGTCTCTACCCTTTCCCCGGGACCGGTTTTGCGTCCTGATTCGTTTTTTGAGCACGCCCGAGGCCTGGCGAGGGTCCCCTGGGGCCGAAAATAGCTAAACCCCCCCGTCCTGATTTTGTACGACGCGATCATGTCTGGGGTGGGGCCTCCTCCGTCCGTTGGGGGGCGATGGGCATCTCCGGATGGATTTCGGAACTGTTCACCCTGGGGTAGGTGGCGTGTCAGGACGCTTGGAGCTTGGCGCGCGAGCGAGCGAGCGAGGTGGAGGTGGAGGTGGTGGTGGTGGAGGAGGAGAAGGAGGAGGAGGAGGAGGAGGTAAGGTAAGGTAAGGCTCCGCTGAGACCGACGCTCCAACGATCTTGGGAGATTAAATGGGGTTCCCCCCTCACAGCTGGTCCTCGGCACTCCACAACCTGGAGGGCGCCAGCGACGCTGCCCTTCGGCATACGTCGGCGCACGGCCGAAGACTTCCAGAGCCGCTGCGTCTGGAAAGAATCACTTGGCAATCATCCCCTGCCCCTCCAGCTCAAGGTAGCCAGCGGGGCGCGGGCCTGCGAAGACAGACGTCTCCTCTTTCGCAGAAATCAGAAGCTGCACGATAGTGGCCTCGAGAGCGGGATCATTGATAGCAATCATCAGCCTGCGCACTTTAGAATCAAACATTTTTTCTGTACGAAAAAGCTTGATGAGCATCTGGGCAGAAATACTGCCAGGCACATGGTTGTCTAAAAACTTGCGAAGCACCGCCTGCTGCTCAGGGCTGGCGCGTGGCATCAGAGTCACGACGACACCTGTGAACATGAAACTGTCGGGGGCTCCTAAACCGTGCCCTTTCTTTCCTTTTACACGTGGAACGTACTCCTTGTCATGGGCATCCTTCATGGCGGTGTAGATAGGATCAGCAACTTTGAGCATGAACTGGGTCGTGCAGGCCGCCTCGAGCAAACGATTCCTCTGAGCATTGATGACACCCAGCTTGAGCGCCGTGTCTACTTTCTTGTCCATACTTCCATCCGTGATACCAAGACGCTTGCTGGCACGAACTCCCACAGCACCTTCTTCAGCAGCAGGAGCTGCAGCACCAACCTGGCCGAAGATGGCGCCCCACTGAGCCGCCATGAGTGCACTAACGACACCACCGACCCTCCAGGAATTCCCGAGGAGCGTCGCGGGGACAACAAAACAGCGACAACGAAGGCAGCAGAAGGAGGCAACGACGGCGACCACGACGACAACGACGACGACGACGACGACGACACGAAACAGAGGGGACACAAGGAGAACAAGAGCAACAGGGGAACGCCGAAGAGGAGGAGGAGGAGGAGGAGGAGGAGGAGGAGGAGGAACAAGATGAGGACGGGATACATGAAGACAAGAACGAAGGGGGTGGATAGGTATGGCAGGGGAGGATGATGAGCAGCAGGAGGACAGGAGGAGCACCAGGAGGAGCAAGAGAACGATGAACGAGGACGCTGAACAACCATCTGCCCCGCTCACTGGAGACCCCCGAGACTACATAACAGACCTCCGCGCCCCTTCCGTGCTCCCAGACCTCGACGCTCGAGGTCCGAGGCTCGAGGGCTTTGGACTGCCTCTTGCCCGCCCTGGGTTTCCAAAGGCCCGCGGAGGCCTCCGTAGCCTCCAGGGACTCCCGGAGACTTCCTGGGAGCTCTGACGACCCAGGCAGAGCGCGGGTGTGAGTGAGCCTGAGCTGTGTGTGGGCCTGGGCGTGAGGACGGCTGAGCGCGAGTCAGATGGGGAGGCGGGCGCGGCCAGAGGCGGGCGTACCACCCCGATCGTAAGACAGACATGCTCGGCCTACGGTGAACATCGAGTCGCCTGAAGTCTGGGCGCGCGGCCCTCCCCAGCGAGCAATCTGTACGCGGCGCCCTCGGCGTGGAGGGCGGCCGTCTCGGGCCGGCCGAGGTAGGCTGGCCGGTTGGAAGGGAGCCCGTGGCAGGCAACCTGGACGCACGCGGCGGGCCCTGGCGGAGAGTCGGGGTGGCGGGAGACCTGGCCGTGTTGGGCCGGCCACGGAAGGTTGCGGCGGGGAGGCCGTGACTGCCAGCCAGGGGGGAGCCCGCTCACACTCGCCAGCGGCTTCCGCTGGCCACAGCGAGGCCACGGGCGGCCCCGCCCGATCCCGTTTCGCCTCCTCTCCTCTTCCGCTTCCCTCCTCTCCTCCTCTCCCTCGCCTAGCAGCTCCTGCTCCTCCCGATCCCGCTGCTCCTCCTCGTCTTTGCCTCCTCCCGCTCCCCTTCTTTTTCCGCGGCGTTCTCCTTCCGCTGCCTCTGCCCCTCGTGCTCGCAGCCCCGCCGAAGCTCCTCGAGCTTCCTGGAGGCATCCCAAAGCCTCAGAATGCCTCCCAAACTCGCCCAAACCCTGATCCTCCTCCTTCGCCTCCAACAGGTCCTCGTCCCCCGCGTCCTGGTTCCAGCCGCAGTGGCTTGAGCCAAAGTAGCTGCGGACCCTGCGCCTCCTCTTCCTCCCCCTCCTCCTCCTCCTCCTTCTCCTCCTCCTCCTCCTCCTCCTTGCTTAAGCCTTTACCCCCCTCCTCAGCCTCCTTCTCCGCTTACCCCGTCCTCCTCCTCCGCCTCTTCCTCTTTCACCCTCCGCATCCTGTCAACGGTAACGACGATGAGATGCTGCTGCTGAAGATGCCCATGCTGAACATGATGATGCTGATAACGATTCTGCTGGGACGCACCAGTCTAAGGTCAAATACTTATTGACGCCCAGACTTTTGAAGTCAGCGGAGGCGCCCCTCTGGCAACCTCAGTCTTCCTGCTGCGGCGATGGCAGCGGCGCAACGGCGCCCGGGATGGCCTCAGCCTCCGTGGGCACCGCCGCAGCGCCAATGGCAGCTAGCAGCGCCCAGCCCGGGGGCGGCGCCGGGAAGCCTCGCGTCACCCACGCGTAGCTGGCCGCGTCCACGTCGATCTTGGGCAGGATGACCAAGGCATCCCCTCCCAGCCAGCCGCCGATGTCAACTGCAAAAGGGGTGACGCGCTCATTATAGTGCTGGCGCGTGGACCGCTCTGCGGCTCTTGTCGGCAGATGCATGTCCGCGGCTGCCGCTCGAGCACCACCGTTTGGGTAGGAGTGCGCCGTGAAGTCCAGGCACGTCGACGTCACGCCGGCCAACGACCTCCAGCACACGTCCACAATCGCCTCCATCACGCCGCCGTCGGAGTTCGCCCTGCAGAGCAACGGCGATCGCGAGCCATGAAAGGAAAGGGCCTACCACGCAGCGGACAGCATGAAGACCGCCGATGTCCAGCTGCCGCCCGCACGGCTGCCCACGCCTCGTGCCACCACAGCAGCAGCGGGCACGCTCCTGGCCGCACACGCCAGGCCAGGCTCCAAGGCAGGTGCCCCCGGGCGCCTCCTCGCGGCGGGCAGCCAGCGCCGGTTGCCAATCCACGCTTGCAAGGGCGCTGGCGCCGCTAGCCGCCAGAGGCCTACTCCTCTGCCGCCTCCGTCCAGCAGTTTGGCGGCGCGCTCTGGAGGCAGCGCGGCCAAGAGGTGGGCGGCCCGCAGCGCCGCCAGCCCGCGTTCCAACCTCCCCGCGAGGCGTCGCCCGCCACCGCACCTCTCTGCGTCCCCGACAAC